TCTATCTATCTATCTATCTATCTATCTATCTGTATATTTATTTATTTATCTATTTATCTCTGATTGCTCCTCAGAAAGTGGAAGAAATCAAGAAAGAGAACCAGGCACTCCAGGAAGAGATTCCTCAACTCCAGGCGGAAGTGGAGAGTCTTCAGATCAAAATTAAGCAACACTGTACTTCTGACGGGTGTCGCTTCAGCCAGCAAGAAAAACTTCGACAGCTCTCACAGATCGACAGATCATGGGTGGTTTCTCATCTCAAGCCACTCCCGAAGCAAACACTTCCAACATCTCAGAGTACGTATGAGATGAAACAGCTGACAGAACCGGAAATACTATGCGTACGACCTAAGTCAGACGACCTGTTTCGCAACTCGCTCCTTGGAACCCCCTTCCTGAGCCATATCAACCCCGTGCCGCAAGTGAAGCGAGATGATGGCTGTCCCCAACTCCAGAGTCTGCGTGCTCCGGCTCCACTTCAGACAAACGACACGGCTGACGGACAGTTCGTACAAACTGTCTCACCGGGCTCACAGGTTTTTCCCCTTGACCCAACCCTGGGCAGCGGGACTCAAGAATTCCTCGCTTTTCCTCAAGAAGTAGAAGACACACCGTCTGTGTCTCCCATGCTATCGTGGCGTGACGAAACTCGTTCTCGACTTCACCTCGCTCCGCAGGAAAACACCGTGGTACTCGCCGCACACAGACAATATCAGTACCCCGAGGAGGCTTCTGTCCCTTCCAATCCCACTCAAGAGACCACAGACGCGCTTGGAAAGACCAACACAAGCTCAGTTATCATAGAGCCGTCGCTTGCCAAAAACAACGATGATTTGCTCAGTTGGGATGAGATGGTGAACTCCATTGTTGGCTTCAATATGGAGGCCTTCACAGATTTGTCTCAGATGTGTCTCCAAGAATCCACACCGGAGATTCAAAAGGAGCCTCAACAGTTGCTGCTGCAATCCAATCAACACACAGTACCAAATGGTACGAACATTCCTCAAACTGTGCAAGCAGAATCCCCAGGGAACGGACGAAAGGCTGACCCAAAATCCACTGACAGTTGGCTAGGCAAACTTGAAATTGACACTCAAACCGCAAGTGTCAGCATTTTTGATGCCCTTAATTCTCCCGTCTTTTCTTGTGTGCATCCAAATTTAGTCCAGCCTAGCTTTAGCCATCCCGAGAAACAGAGTGCACCTGACTGTAATAATCATCAGGAAGCGAGCAGTATGTACCTCAACCATTTATCCCCGGTAACGCCAGCAACTTCCTGTGGCAACTCCCCATACCCTCATCTCTCAGACGGAGTTTTCCCCCTCCCAGAGCCCAGCCCACCCCCACAAACTCCCGCGAGCTCTCTTCCCTTGAGCTTGTCCACAACAAACGGCAGGTTCCCTTGTCCTTCAAGCTCCGCTTCCCAGACCCCAACAGCTCTCAGTTTTCCCCAGTCATTTCCAGTGGCTAGCTCCTTTGGCCACCAGTTTACCCCACCACCTCCCACCCCGACCCGTCCTTCTCAATGCACCTCCGTAAGTCCCCCCGTCTCTCCCCCTTTCCTCTCTGCTTGCTCCAGGCACGAGGTAGAACCGACGTCTCCCTTCGTCACCACAGGTTTCAGCGCCTTCCGGGGAGACCGCTAACCCATTCATAAAAGGACTGTGACGTCACGTTGTGAGACTCCTCCCCTCCCCCCTCTCCACCACACACACACCTTTTTTTTACTTTTAACAGGATGTAGCATAAATTACAGTTTTGTCACCAGTTTTATTCACACTAAACACGAACGATTGCCAAATAAACAACAGTAACATCAAGTTGATCAAATTTGCGGATGATTCAACCATAATTGGGCTAATTCAGGCTGGACCATAAAGAAACCGCTTACTGGAATTTTGTACTTAACTTTTCTGAATGGTGTAAAAATTATAAACTGAATGGAAAGACAGAGGGAAGAAATATACAAACACTTATATTGTGTATGTAGTATGTAATATGCAATGACATATTCGCTAGTTGTTACCATGCCTTATAAAATGATTGCATTTCTTATACACACATTATTAACTTCGTTAAAATCACAGTGCCATACACTTTTATACAAATATCAAAAACTAAAATGATGGTATTTTTTAAAAATAATGCTCTGTCTCTCGCTCAGAGAACTAGAAAAGAGACAAAGAAAACAGATACTGCAAAATTTTCACTAATAAAGGGTTATGGCAATAATACTTATCTGCCATATTTATTTCTTTTCAAGAATCAAAAGGCAGTTTTTGTTGTGTTTTTTTCTGGGGAGAAAGGATGGTTAGTTTGGGGGG